CAAAATCTAAAAATGTAATAGCTGTCTTGGCAAAGGATAAAAGATATCAATCAAAAGACATATGAAGATCTCTTATCATAATGTTACTTCTTCAGGATAGAAATGTTAATTTTGGAATTGATGACTTTCTCCCAGCTTCAAGACCCCATTGTTCCCTTTAGTAGAATTACTGCCATAGTAAAAATAACTCAAGCATGTCGTACATAGCACAAATTTTTGAAGGGCCTATGTTCTAGTTAAGTTCTTAATATTTGAAAAATAAAATCACTTAATGTGAATTGGGTAATAAAGGATCACACATCAACTGTTCCCTGGGTCTATTCGTTGAGTGAATGTTACAAGTGATTTGAAAATGTCAAAACGGAACCCAAATTAAAAATAAACAGTATATCTTTTCAGGGAAAGAAATCAATTTAATACTTCTAGCCCTAATTTCAAATTGAATCAATCAAATCTATCATAGTACATAGTGATAGAAATGAAGCAACTGGATTTTCTAGATTTCTGGTCTCATTAGAAAATACAACTGATTAGTTTGAAAAAAATTATAGCCAGAATCATGGCTTTATGAAAATACAATTATGGCACTTACTGTTGGTTTCTGAACACTTGTTTACTTTTTTTGTTTGTTTCCATTTTTATTAATTGCAAAATAGTTGGAAGAGATTTAATAAGAGAGATTACATGACAGGCTCCACTCATCCAGCTCAGAAGGATTGGAGAAGTGGGACACAGCCCCAGGTCCCATCATTAAATACATCACTGTATTGTGGATAATTTAAAAAGTCATAGATCAGCAGGACACAGCTATTGAAAAGTTATGATTTGTGAAGAAAGCACATTATCTATTATATTAGCATGTCATCCGTCTAACAATAAATTATTTTCATATTAAATGTAAAAAAAGCCTAGTATTGGCTAATCAAAAAGTGCTATATCTTTAAACATTAAAAAATTGTCACATCACAATTGATATTGGAAGTATAATTGCTTCAGATTCAAATGACTTTTCAAACTTTCATAAAGGGAAATATTTTAATTAACCCAACAATCTATTTCATCAACCATGAAGTGTTTCCTGATATATGTCTTAGGATTTAATTTTACTTTAGAGCTACCCAAAAGAACATGACCTGAAAAATTAAGATAAAGGTTATGATAACTATATAGTAATGATGACATTAGTAGTAGGGATTTGTATAGTAAAAGATTTAGAGACTAGATATCTTCCATTTGGTAATGTCATGTTCTCTTTGGAATGTTTGTTTTTCTTTCCTTTCAAAACTTAGCCTTAAATCCTAATGTTTAGACAACTACTTTGTGGACTGGGATCAACATCAAAATATCAAACATTCTTATGAGGCTGCAAAACAAACTATCACAATAAATCCCAACCTTGTGGCCAACACATTTTACTTCTTCATAGTTGAATGAAACCAGGAAATTTAAAAATTATCTTAGAAATTAAACCTGTCCCATTGAAAAAGGATTTGTACTATCAGATTTTTTTTAATCCAAAGTAACAAGAATTGGATAATAAAATTATCACACATCAACCAGTACCTTGGGTCCATTAGTAAAAACGCTAATGACATTTTGATTGTTGACATACCTAAACACATTTACTTATGTCACACAATTGGTAGACTTCCCTTAACTAATATATGGCCTATATTAAAAATATTTCCATTTGGATGACGTTTGTGCAGGAAAATACTGAAAGATTTTTCAGTAAATGAACATATTTATTTAATACAAGTCGCACTTTACAAAATTGAGGGGTTAAGATTTTATTTATTTATTTATTGAACCCAAAGGAGCTTAACTACTGAGCCACATCCCCAGTTCTTTTTATTTTTTTTCTTTTGAGACAGAGTCTCACTAAGTTGCTGAGGCTGACTTTGATCTTGCAATCCTCCTGCCTCGGCCTCCCCAGCCTCTGGGATTATACACATGTGCTATCATGTCTTGCAGGATTTATTTTAAATGAGGCATCTTTGTCTGTATTTGTCCCAGCAAAAATATATGTAAATATAATTTCACTCATTAAATCTCATGAAAGAAAAATACAACAAATTTGATTGTCCACTATTCATCAGACACTGACTTATACCTACAACTGTACTATAACTTTGTTTTTGAGTTATAGTCTTTCTTCAGCTCCAAATTCTTATAAAGCTTATTAACACATTTTCTTATGCTTGGAGTAGGTACCCAATAAATATTTGTTGAATGAATTCCTAAATAAGGACAATTTTAATTTTTGAGCTTGCAATACAACATAATTTAGGGCTAATTAAATATAAAAAACAATTGCAATTGTGAAACTTTTCTTAGGGAAGAAAATAATATTCCATTCATTCAATTTTAAAATTAGAAGAGCAAACAAAAGTATTGTTCTTAAGATATACAGAATGCACTTCTTCTGTTATAGTCAATAAAGAACAAGATCTGAAAAAACTAGGAAAAAGGTAGCAAATTTAAAAATGATGAAAAGAAATGAAGATGGAAACATCATGAGAACAGATGTGAGAAAGTGATGACGTCATGAGTACAAAGCCATTCAGCAATGTAACCAAAGAATAATAGAGATCCATGGTGGCATGGAAGACAAAGCATGTCACTTAACTCTCAAGTCAACAAGCCCTACTGCCCCACCTCAAAGTGCCTCCCAGCCTTGCACAAGAGTCAGCACCATAGAACAACATACTACTGTAACTCTGAGGTACACAAAATGGTAGTGAACTCTTAAGAGCATTTAAATCACTCTGAAAGACTCAAGACAACTTTATAGAAATGATATTTGACTGAGTTTTGAAAGGTTAATAAATCATGGAATTGTTGCACAAAGAGGGAAATCTGGGCAAAACAAAACAAACAAAAAAAAACCACTCCCCAAAACAAAAACAAACACAAAAAAACCCTGTTGGTAACAGACTGGCATGGCTGGAACACAAGATGAATGTATCAAATTGACTAATTAAAATATAATTGTTGAGGATGGAGTCCAGTTTTTTTTTTTTTTTTTTTTTAAGGTAATGGTATAGTTTTAAAGGCTCACTTGAAATTTTTAATGGGCATCTCTGAGTGCTAAGTAATTGAAAGTCAGTGAACATTTTTAAATGAGGAAATGGAATAATTAGATCTGTTTTAGGAAGATACATTTGGCTTGAGAGTGGAGAGAGGATATATGTATGTGTATGAAGACCAGGAAGAATCAAATATCAGTTAAGCGTATAATGTATTACACATAAATTCCAGAAAAAGACAAGTATTCCTTATATTGTAAGGAAGAGGCCATTTTGCATAGGCTATTTTGTTGAGGCTATTTGGAATTCTTGGGTTAAACTCTCATTGACAGTTATAATCAAAAGTTATTAATGTGTATATTACCTATTTTATTTACCACATAGATCTAATGAACCCAAGCCAAGAAATTATTTTAATCTCTATTTTAAATGCCCATAAGAATTCATTATTTGTAAAAACTATTTATAACTAATTCTTTTTTTACTTTGAAAGATTTATTGTTAAAAAAAAGCTATGGTAACATAATTATGCCAATTTTTAATCAAAATCATTTTAATCAAATGAAATAATTTTGTTTTAAAGGTCATGTTAGTATTAAGAATATTCTTATGTTATTGTCCCTTGGTAAACTGTATTTATCAGTTGAAGAAATGGGATAATTAAAATGCATTCAGAAATCAGAAACTTACATATAGAAATTTTTTCTATATTTTTAAAGTTTAATATTCACATTAGCAATTATTAATTTACACAAGAAGATAGGTTTTATTTGTAAGACAGCAATATTTTCACTTTTGAAGAAACTTAGGAAAAAAATATGAGTTGTTAAAAATTTTGCACATACATATATATGCCTAAAATTGATATAAATTACTTTATAAAAGGAAATAATTGATTTTGATTGCATTTCACCAGCAGTAGGAACTTGGTATATGTACACATTCTATGTGCCAGATAGGTCTAATGAACAGCTGGTACATATACCAAGTACCAAATATATATATATATGTATATATATACACACATATATATATGTGTGTGTATATACATATATATATATATATATATGTATATATTTTCTTTTATATATTTTTCTTTTGTAAAAAAAAGTATCTCCAGTGATTCACCACAGACAAAATTACTCTTGTTTGTCTTCCAAAGGAATATTTTCAATTCAAGTAACAATGTGAATTGTGTGCTTTCTAGTTATTGTAATTGGGTGTACTGTTTTAAGCCATTATCTAGTAATTCCTGAAGCAGCTCTCTTAGAATTGGGTCAGAAGCTCTCAACCTGAGATTCATCTATTTCCTGAAGTATCCTTTAGATTTGGATCAGAGGCACTCACAAAATTTTTCAACCTGAGAATCATCTATTATATTTCACTGAAAAACACCATCCTCAAATGTTTGAATAATGGAGGGAAGGAAAAAATATATATATATATTTATCCCTTTCTTCCTTTAAGCTTCTTTCCTCCTTTTCTCCTTCCCTTCCTTCTATCTTTGGTTTGAGAAGATGTTAATAAGAAACTCTGGCCAAAAGAAGCATTTGGCAGGAAAGATATTCTTACATTTTACTTTTAAAGATCAGGAAATTGAAAATCAGTAAGATCGAGTGACTTTCTGCATGTCACCAATGATAAGGAATGGAATTAGGTCACAAAATTCTTCTGACCTCTATTTTCTAATTGCAATATTTTATTTGAGGACAATTCCCTCCCCCAAAATATTTAATAAAAAGCCAACAAAAGCTCCAATACTGTTACTACAGCAGGGCTACTTATTAATTTCTTTACTAGAGATCCGTATTTCTGGCCTGGACAATGATCTTAACATGTGAGTTGTTTTGCCTACTTTGAGAAACATCAATCCATTTTTGGTTTTATACTCCATTTCTATATTTTTTCCATTAAAAAATTTTTGAAAATCTAGTTAAGATTATAAATTTTTTGTTTAAAGTTTGCCTGCCATTTAAAGATTCATTTCTCTAAACATAACTAGGAAGGTAAAGTGAGTTATCCATAAGTAGTATATATAATAGACTTTTATTATTACATGTGAATTTTTTTTCTAAAGTAGAAGATTTGTTTGATGCAAAAGTTAAAAAGTCTCACCTAAATGGTATGAAATAATATGGATAAGACATAATTTACTTCAACAATCTTTCAGTCTTAAAAACTCTAAAAGAAACTATGGGTACACAAGACACTTTTAAAATTTGAATGATGCTTAACAAAGGAAAGTTAGAATCTCACATTTTTTTTCATAAATTTACACAATATGATATGTTATAAATGTAAGGCGTTCAGAAGAATATAAAAACCAAAGACCTCATAACCCTAACCAAAACAATGACATACCACAGATTTAATTTTTTGAAAGAAAACTGACATTCACTTTTTATGAAAGAGAAGAGGTTTCACCATCCCTGCCAAGATCTTGGGTAACTGTGCAGCAATAACTTCAGACATCATTTCTGGAAATTCAACACTCAGTGCCCGGGACTGGATAAATGTGTTCAAGCAGTATAGATGAAGTTGTTTGACAAGCTGTCAGTTTAACAAATGGGTAGGAAATGTAAAAAAATAAATAAATAAGTAGATTTGTATGCTATGCAAACATAACATATTCCTAACAATAGAAATACTTGTCAAGACTTTCTTCCTTCCAAACTGAAAATAATTCCCATCACTGTCTAGAATGCGCAAGTATCATATACTCATGATGCGACATTCTAATACTAAGGAAAGATTTAAAGGAATGACATTTATCCATGTTTCCACAAAATAACCAAAGTGAACATTTCAGCTTCAAAACAGTTTCAAGTTTTTTCCTCATATATATATGCATACATAAGCCTATTGACAATATTACACATACATTTTTAACTGAATTTATGACATAAATTCTATTTGTCAATCTGGCTTTTTCACATAATTATATGTTGATGTCTTTATATCAATAACTCAACATTTTAATCAAATTTTAATTTTTATTAAAGTAATTCATGTATGTGATTTTGAAAGTTAAAAAGAACTTCAAGGTTTATAACAAAAACAGCAGTAGCAGCAGCAACAAAATTCCTCAGTTCCCTGATGCACTTCTTATTTCAGTTCCCCAGACACAACTAACTTTCTTTATTTTTAAAATCTGTGTCTTTTGACATTTATATCTGTATCTCAAATAAACATTTTCTTTTCATTCTGACATTATTGAGGTCGTGCTATGAAAATTGAGGATTTAGTTCTCTTATACTACATACTCTGCTCCTCAACCATATTTTCTCTTCTCCCCATTCTCTGCATACATTTCAATATTTGGCTAAATCAGTTTCCAGCAATTATATTACAAAGATTTGTATTGTTTCCCTTCTGGATTACATTTCCTTCTTTACATGACTTGTTTTTAAGTTGTAAGAGCTAATCCCCTAGTATTCTTGTTTGCTTTGTTTCTTCATATTGGTACAAAGCCATAGTTAAATTTTCTTGATAGCAATGAAAAAATTCACCTTGCTATGGTTATGCCTACCGGCGGTCTCCCAATAATGATTCCTGAAGCTGGTATCCCAGAACACTTTGTCTTGCTGTTCCAATCTAGACTGCTCTGTACAATTACTAGGGCATCTTTGGCATCACTCTTGGGTTGGATCCTGTACTTCTTTGGCTTATTGTTTTGCTGTGACACATTCTGTGGTAGTTCTCAGGACAGGTTATATTTGACATAAACTCTGAGACTGCATGAGTAGAAATACTACTTTTATATTATCATTGCCTCGTTTGGTGAATTGGCTTGAAATCTAATTCTTTAATAATTTTTCTTTTCCATCAAAATTCTAGAGGCATTGCTCATGCATCGTTCCATCTTCTGGCTTCCAGTGTTGCTTTTGAGAAGTCCAATGTCATTCTTAATGTGGAGAATTTGTTTGTGACTTTTTCTTTTGATCTCTAGTATATTTAGGATAGTCTCCTCATTTCTGATATTCTGAATTCACATTTTATAATAATGTACCCTTGTTCAAGTATGCAATACCTGTACACCATGCCCATAGAGTTTAAAGCTCATATTCTGCAGTTCCAGTAACTTTGATTATTATGTAATTTCCTCTTTTGATTTTTCTCTTATCTGTCTTCTGGAAATTCCTATTAATTGGGGGTGGAAATCCCTAGATTAATTCCTTAAATTTGCTCTCTCTCCTAATTTTTCTTGAATTAATTTTTAAATTATTTTCTGAGAGTTTATATTTTATCCCTCTTGTTGAATTTTTAATTTCTTCTCTATATTTAATCATCCAAAAGCATTTTTCTTGCTTAATGTTCATTTTTTAAATTCTCCTTTCTTAGACAAAATATCATTCTTATTTCTCTGAGGGGCTTAAAAGTGTTCTTTTGTTGTCTGTACTGATGTTTGTTCCTTCAAGCTGCTTTTTTCCTGCTTATTTAGTTGTCTGCTTTGCATTTTAGAGGCTTCACTTGAATAGCTCACACTCTTGGCAATCTATTCATATTCAGAAGTAAGGACTCAAAAGTTGACCTGGTGAGTAGATAGCCTTTTTTATGGCTTAACTGTCATTGTAATGTGGTTTCTGAGCATTGCAGCAATAAAAACTTCTATTCGATATGTCTTGACTAACCACATATGTTTTGTTTTAATAATCCAGTTCTGGTGTTGGACATTTTTGGGTTGTTCATCACAGCAGAGAAAAAAAAATCCAGAAATAATTTAAAAACTTAAATTCTTGCCTAATTATGTCTTTAAGATAAATTCTGAAAAATAAAACCTTGAAAAGCATGCAAATTTTAGCTCTTGCTATATAGTGCCTGATTTCCCAACAGCCACGTTATTTAGAATTCCACATCAATGGTAGATTATTATTTTCTACATCCATACTTTTGCTTTTATTACCTATATAAAAAAACGTTGCTAGTTTTAAGCAAAATATTTTAGAACATATTCTGGGAAATGTATCCTAATTCCTACCAGCCATTAAATTACTCTTAGGTTATATAAATACTAATAAAGTGATCTACACTGAAAATGAAAAAAAAGCCCAATATAAATTCAGAACAGTATGATATCAGAACTCTTTAAACCAGGAGCACAAATACAAATTTGATGAAAACATATCAAGTAAAATTTAGATTTAACATTTAAAAAGTTAGATAAATCTAGAGAACAAGTACTGATATCCTGGGGAGCAAAATACTTACATCATGCAAGCTATCCAGAAGTTTTGTAAGTTGATAGAAACGCTGTGAACTAGAGACAACTCCTTTCTGCCTCAAACCAATTGCTTTGATGAGCTCTCTAATGTAGCTTGATCTCATGTCTTCAAACTGGCTTTGGCTTCTTAGTCCTTCCAAAGGAACTGTAGGAAGATAATTACAAGTGGCAGTTATGTTAAAAAGATAACACTAACAACTTATACATTTCTGAGCTAGATGATTTCTTTTATATGTAATCCTAATAAAACTACCTCAAGTAGGGAAAAGACAGTGGTATGGATAACATCAGTATATGGAAACTTCTAATTCTGAAAGAATACAAGACCAACTAGGCATATTAAAGAACATTTCAACTTACCTGTTTCAGACCTGTATTATGAATTTAACTTAGTCAGCATTTACTCAGAAAAGCACCAGAATTTATTCTATCATCCTACCTCAAATACATGGTTTGATTTGGTTTATAAATGTACTCTGGTTCTTTTTTTTTTTTTTAACAAATGATTGGGTTTCTTTGAAATTTCTTCTTCATGCAAATCTCAAATGTTTTTCATTAAGATTATTCCCAGATAAGTTGTCTTTTTCTGTTTTTGTCATTTTAACATTGCTTTACTAAATTTTCTAATGCCTATCTGCTGATATAGGGAGAAAGCTATTAACATTTGAATATTACTCTTAGATGCAGACACCTAGTTGTAGTCTATTTTTAATTCAAGCAATTTTTGGTGGATAATCTTGATTTTCTTGGTATTCAAAAATATAACATCCAAATATTTCATTTTCATTTCCAATAGTTGTAGCTCTCATTTCTGCCTCACAATTCACTGCATTGTTTCAACATTTATAGAACAATATTAAATACTGAGTGTGAAAACTGTTATTCACATTTTAGTCTTGATTTAATGAAAATGCCAATTATTCTCCTTACAATATCAACTAATAACTTGGATATTTATCTCTGAAATCTGTAATTCCTGTATGCAGATCTTAGGCATAACTACTAGTTCTTGTATTTTCACTTCATTATCAATTCCACCATTGTTTTCTCATAAATCTTTTAGGTTCTTCTGCTATCACTGATCTAAGACACCCTGGTTGATTTCTCTAGCAATTATACCACCAGTGAAGGGTTATGGAAAATAATATTCCTATAAGACAGCCCCAGGGAAAAATTTATCTCATCTCCAGAGGACGTAGGGACATTAGCCAAACATTAAACCTCTCTCAGTGAATCTTTTCCCAGTAACAATGGGCCCTCAGGGAAGGAAAGCAAACTTTCATCCCTTCCCAGGTTTATCTCCAGCCATCTGCATCAAAAGCAAACATTCATCCCTTCCTAACCACTATGGGTCCTGAAGGGAGGAGGTTGATACTGAAACTGAAATGCGGGGCCCTGGACTTTTACCCTTTCGCCATTGCCCATGAGTCCTGGAAGGAGGAAAATCCAAGAAATAGGGAAGCTCTGGGTAACAGCGGGTCCCGGAGGAAGAAGTGAACGCTGAGTTTCTGAACTTTGCCCAGTGACGATGAGTTTCAGACTTTTTACAACTTTTTACCTGACTGCCCAAAGGACACATTCTGTTTCAGTCTCCAATGATAAATTCACCCTCATTGTGAACTATAAAACTCAGACTCCTTCTGTAACTGGTGTGCCATTTTTGTACCCAGAAAATGAGCCCTCCTGTGCCTGACTGATTGACTCTGCTGTGGAATACAAGAAAGCTTGCTGATCCATTTGAGGTCTGCTTCTGTCCCAGTTATTTGTGTTTTCATAATGGTACCTAAACCATGTTGGTTATTTTTGTTTACAACCAGTACCAATTTCCTCCTTGCTTCTTTTTTTTTCCTTTAGGTATACTTTTCCTACAAACAAATGTTCAACTTTAAGTGTGCCATCTGCTTTTCCTGTGGCTATATCCATTACTGAAGGAAAAATAACAAAATCTCTTAATTTATGTTACTATACATCCATGATCTTGACCCTTAATAATATTTTTATTAAGAAATTATCTTGGTTTAAAGGTAAATGTGTATGCTCAGCAAGAAGGAAAACACTTTTTAAAAACTACTATTTATCTTTTGCATCCCAATCAGACCTTGAAGTCCCCTCTTCTAGTCACACATACAAGCCAAAGGGTAACCAAGAAGTTAATTATTCAACTTTGAGTTTCCAAATGCTCAGATTCTGAATATAAACAGGTCTCTGGACAGGTGACAGCAATATGAAGTTTTTGCTCAAGTGAAAACTCCTGTATGACATGTATATGTAAATAGTATGTGTTCATCTATAAACTCTTCTTTCAAGTTTCTTCATATTACTGTTTTTTTTTTTTCAAACTTGGACACATACTTTAAGGTTTCCAAACAATCCTGTATCTCCCTCACTCTTGAATATGAATATAAACCATTATTCTTGATATTTTCTTGGTAAATCCTCTTACTAAGATTAAGTGTAGTTTTGTGGGGAACAATAGTAAATATATGCATTTTAATCAGTTATATGTTCCTGGAGATCTGTATTTTAATTTTTAGAGGCAAATAGGAGGTTAAACTTTTAAAACATCATATCATTGAAACTTTTTCATTGACACTTTTACCACTGGATTTAATTTTACAAAGTTATTTCCTATCTGATATTTGAAAATAATTTATATTTCTTCTAGTTTGTTTTCCCTCATATGTTTATAATTCTTATCTATTTATCCTCCTAGATTCAAAGATGGATTTTCAATAATTTTGCCAATTTATTCTCCCAGCCAATTGATATTTGTGCCACCAGAAGGAAGTCACTGCAAAAATGCTGCTGAGAAAGACACTTGGTGCAGCTCAACCCAAGGCCTTAGCTCCCTGTGGTTCTCTTCCAATCACTTCCAATAAGGAAGCATAGATTTGTACATTTGAGAGTTGGACATCCCTGTGCAACAGCTCTTTTACCATTATTTTTTTTTTTAATTTTTCCTACCCACACCCCCTTGGGAATCTACTGAGGTAGAGGCCAATGTATTCTTTGTGTATGAGAAAAAATGAAGTTGATATTTGCCCTTTCTTTGGTGACCAATACTCGGTTTCATGCCATTCCTTCTGGCTCCAGGGCATCCAGCCAGGCAGCATGTCCCAGCTTTTGCTGCAGGCAGGTGGACCATGGAATGCAGGTGGAAATGGTGCATAACACTTTCAAATCATGCCTCCACATTTGCTCACTCAGTTCTCATTTCTAGTCAGAAGCAATGGTGCACTCCAAGCCACAGAAAGGTGGAGCCGCTTGATGGAAGGAGCATGGGTTTTTCTGTTTACCCCACTGGACTGTGTGTGTGTGAATGACAAAACACAGTGTGAATGTACTAAGCTGCTGAATTTCATATCTATTTGTTGCAATGGTTAGTCTATCTGGATATAAGGAGAATAGTTACATACAAAATAGATTTTTTGTGTATTTTATATATAGTAAATACTTTTGTGAGCGGTTATAAAAGGAAGCATAGGTTGCGTTTATGTAATATTAATCAGAATACAATATTAAATTAGGTGAACATAAAAAATCTAATCATATTTTATCTAAAATAAACAAATTGGTTAGCTCATTTTATATTATAATGGTAGGTAAGATATGACAAAAGATGAAGTAATTTTATTAATGTCTATGACAATATATTGAATATTGTTCCTTTACAGTTACAATCTAAGATTTATACCTCATATATATTATATGATATTGTTTGAGACCTTCCTAATGAATTTAAAGTTAAGAAACTAAATATCATTTATTAAGTTACTCGTACTCACTTGTATTAAGAAGAAGCAATACTTTCATACAGAGGAATTCTTCATGGCTAATTTGAAGCTTGACAAATTCCTGTGGGATCTGCCACATGGTAAGGCATAAAGAATAGAAGGACAACTCCTTCATCCGCTGCCTTGAACCACACATAACACATAAAAGAAAAAGCAATAGGTGAAAAAAAAAACAGTGTTTCTATCAGGGAATATGATTTTGACAATTATTTCTCATATTATTGATTATGACTAATATTTTTAATAAGCAGTAAATATTTGGAGGTTTCAACATCTTTAAGATTTTTTACAGTACAATACTAAATATTTGGTGTTATGATATTTTAAAATTAGAAAATCCTATTAGATGCACATAGACCAAAATTAATAGTTTCTTTTATAATAAAATTTTAAATACCTAAACCAAGAAAGGAAAGAAAAATTGTAGAATTTGAAAATGTGCAGGTAAAGAATGCTCAGAAATGCTTTATTTACTGTTGATTTTTTTCTATGAAAGCATATCTCTGTGTGTGTGTATGTGTGTGTGTGCACACATAATTTTGTGTGTAATTCACATGAGAATTGCCTTAGTTTGCAGAAAGTTACCACTCTGTGACCTTTTTTAGGGGAAATGTATGGTGACATAGAGGATAAAAGAGAATGTTAGCAAGCATATAATAATAATTCATAAGCTCAAACACCAATTCTGAAGGTTGAGGACATTTATTTTTTAACCCTGTGCTATTTTATAATGTTCACATCAATCAAATTATGCTAACAGAAAGAGTGAAAAAGATACTAGGTTTTGACTCAAAAGAGTTGAGATTAATCCTGATTCTTTAGAAGGGTGTGCGTGTGTGTGTGTGTGTGTGTTCATTATAGTTGTACATATTGATGAGATTTGCTGTTATGTGTTTGTAAGACATAAATCTACTAATATAATTTGGCCAATATCGCTCCCCAGCATTTCCTTCCTCCCTCTGTATCTCTCACATCTTGATCCCTTTTCTCTATTGATCTCCCCTTCATTTTTAGGAGATCTACCTCCAACTTGGTTTTTCTTTTTCCTCTCTCACTTCTGCATATGAGAAAAACATGACCCTTAACCTAAGCCTCGGTTTCTTGGACTATAAAATGAAGGATGCTAATTTCTTATAATCAAGGACTTGTAAGATAAAACAGAATGAAATATGAAAATTACCATAAACTATGAAAACTTACACAAGGTATAAGTTACTAATTTAAAATACTTGTAAGTCATCATTCACCATTAGAACATCATAAATATTGTGATGAAAAGATTTTTAATTTGGTCATATGTAGAAAATTAATTGATTATTTATGTATAATAAGGCAAATTAAATATTTATCTTTTCAGTTTTTAAAATAAATTACAAGCCCAGTTTTCCTGTAAGAAAAAAGATGTTTTTACTTTTTGAAGTTAAGTCAATACTTTAAAAAATATTTCTAATTTATTTCATTATCTTCATTATACTAAGGGATAAAATTTTAACTTTATAAAGTAAATACTTGATGTTGTCTTTAAAGCCTATTTCTTGGCATAATTTTGAAGAATTTAAAATTTTTTATTTGAGACAATAATAAATATTGAAAAAAAAGAAAAAAATATCAAATTACTGATACAAATGATATGATTTTTATTAAGACTGTATTATCAAGTTGTATCCTGAAGTAATTCTGAAAAATACTTAAGGAAATTCCATTATTTAAGATACTAAATGTATAGTCATTTACTGAAATATAATTTTGAAAATTATGTTGCAAACACACTTGTGATAATAACAAGACAACAATATTTACTACTTACTCATTTAGTATTAGATCAGGTGCAAAATATAACATCTGCCCACTGACATGTTTGTAGGATCTCCATCCTAGTCCAAACACCATTAAGCTCATCCAAGAGTACTGAATGAGAGTTATCTGATCATCAATATGTAAGGTTCTAAAACCTAAAAAACAATTTTAAAATGAAATGATCACTTATGTAAAAAATGTAGAAAATACATAGAAGTTTAAAAACAGATATAATTAGGATTTTAATCTTAATATAATTTTTCCTAAAATCAGGAACTCATCAATCACCCATCTCTCATTCTTGTAATACCCATTTATTGAGATCCATATGTGTGCCAGGCACCTTGTTAAAATGCTGGGGTTATAAAGATGAAGATCAATCTTCACCCTTAACAGAAGCTCACCACTCAACAGGAGAGACAAGCATAGGGGAGCAGTGATGAGAAAGCTAAGAGGGAGCATACCAGTCAATCAGAAGGCAGGCCAGGCAAAGCTTCCTGAAAGACCAAGAGCTGATGACTGAGTGATATTCAGTTTGTTGAGTAATCTCAATTGTGGGGAATTTAAACATAAATTGGTTTTACTTTATAAAACCAGTGCCTTCAATTGTGGTATATCTAAATTTCTAGCAATGCTTATATATCATAGATTCCAGAAGTTTGGGGTCAATTTTTTTTAATTTTATACTTCTAAAATTTGTTCTTATTAGTTATACACGACAGTAGAATGTATTTTGACATATTATGCATATAAGGAGTATTATTTCCCATTCTTCTGGTTGTACATATTGTGGAATTACATTGGTCATATATTCCTAGATGCACATAGGAAAGTAATGTTTGGTTCATTTTACTATCTTTCCTATTTCCATTCAACCTCCCTTCATTAATTCCCCTTTGTCTAATCCAGAGTACTTCTATTTTCCCTACCCACTTCCACCTATTGTGATTTAGCATCCACCTGTCAGAAAAAAACATTTGGCCTTTTGTTCTTTGGGATTGGCTTATTTCACTTAGCATGAGAGTCTCCAGTTCCATCCATTTACCTGCAAATGCCATAATTTCATTTTTCTTTATAGCTGAATAGTATTACATTGTGTAAATGTACCACATTTTCTTTATCCATTCATCTATTGAAGTGTAACTAGGCTGATTCCATAATTTAACTATTATGAATTGAGCTGCTATAAATATTAATGTGGCAGTGACACTGTAGTTTGCTGATTTTAAGTCCTTTGGGTATATGCCAAGGAGTGTGATAACTGGGTCAAATGGTGGTGCCATTCTGACTTTTCTAGAGAATCTCCATACTGCCTTCCAGAGTGGTTGCACCAATCTGCAGTCCCACTAGCAATGTATGAGTGAAATTTTGTCTCTATATCCTCGTCAATATTTATTGTTACTTGTATTCTTGATATTTGCCATTCTGACTGGAATGACATGGAATCTCGGTGTAGTTTTAATTTGCATTTCCCTAAATGCTAGAGATGTTGAAAATTTTTTCATATATTTGTTGACTGATTGTATTTCTTTTTCTGTGAAGTGCCTGTTCAGTTCCTTTGCCCATTTATTGATTGGGTTATTTGTTTTGTGGTGTTAAGTTTTTTTAGTTCTTTGTATATCCTTGAGATTAATATTCTATCTGGGTGCAGGTGACAAAAAATTTTCTGATTCTATAGGTTCTCTGTTCACATTTTTTTAATCCTATCTTAATTTAAACATCTATGTGATTTAGAGTTGTGCATATGTGTGTATGCACAAATGCTCTGATCTTTCACCCTCTTTCAGGCCCTTGTCTGGTGTTGGTGGCAGAGAGAGAATGGCAGCAAAAGGCAAAATGTGTTTTGACTTAGTGGTTGTAGTTCTTCTTTTCATCTTTTCCCATTTCTTTGAAGAAGAGCATCTGTTCAGCACTGAAGAAAGCAAAAATGTCTCTGGAGATGTAGACTGGGGTCGAAGCTTGGAGGGTCTTGTATGTTAATCAGTAGCAATAGGAGAGACATGGCCTACATGTGTTTTAGGAAGATTCTTAGTAGCTATGAGGAAAGTGGATTCATGGAGCAAGTACTCGAATTAGGGAAAGCAGTTGTCAATCAGATGAAAGATGATGACAGTCTTATCTTAAATTGATATGAAGGAATTGAAAGAAGGAGATACATCAGAGAGATATTTAAAATGCAAAATCAAAGAGATTTGGCAACTAATTGTATGTAAGTGGGAAGAAGAACTCAAATACATGTATCAGCATCTTCACCTGAATTCTATAGTGGGGCAGCATTGCTGAGATAAAGGAGAAGAAACAGAATAGGGAGAAAATAGTAAATATGGATATGTTTGAGGAACCTCACAAATATCTAGATAGCAGTTGAGCATGTGTATTAGGATAGGGAGATATCGGCTAGAAATATAAATTTGGAGATTATTTGTATCTGATTGTAGTAGAAACAAGAAAGTGGATGAAATATTTTATTAAATTTTAGGAGGAAAATGTGTTTTGATATAAACATCAACCACTTTCTTTAAAGCTCTTTGACTAATGACTGTTTTACCTAAAAAATCCATTGAAATCCACTCAATTCATTGAAATTACTCAATTCAAAAGTATAATTAAAGCAAAACTTATTATTTGATACTAAGAGCAAAATAAATTAATGTCTTGACTACATTAGACATTTCAAGGAATTATCAGAGCTGAAGGCTACCTTCTCTCACACACTCAAGATGGTCCCGTCTCATGTGAACATCAGGAAGGGTGATGCTCTCTTGAGAACTCATTAACCTCACTGGGACTGCAAAGAACTCTAGAGCATGTTACAACTAGGGATATTACAGCAGCAGTTTTCCTCTTGGGGAATGGGCTCTTCATTGTCTAACTTCCTTCCTTTCTTCCTCTGTGCAGTACAGATCACCCTGGTTGCAGTTTGGTGAAAGCATGTGCCCCACCTTTCCACAAAGGAAGTTGGCTAAAAGCTCTGCTTCCCTGGGCTTATGGCTTGGGTCTGGCCTCTGGATAAGGTACTTTGAATCAGGATTAGTAAATCAGGGTTAGTAAAGTAAAGACAAAACATATTGTTATTAAATCTTGATAGCAGTAGTGCCTAGTGGAGGCACCAAGTGATAGAGGAATCCAAAGGTGTGTTTGTCATGCTAATTTATGCCTCAGTTTCTACCATATTCCAAGTTTGTTCTCTAGTTTCTATTCAATGACTCCCTATTGATCTCCCAGTAATTTTCCCCCCCTTTTTTTAAATAGAGTTTTTGTTTGTTTGTTTTTATAAATAACTGTTTTGTTGTTGTTGGCTTCCAAGAATTCTGACTTATTCAGGTGCAGAAAGACTCCCTACGTAACCAGCCAATAAAAATTTGGCACGAGGTTTTCACAGTACTTTATTTTAATATGACTTAAACTCACCTTCAAGTACATATCTATATATAATGTGTCTTTTAGAAACAAAACTGAGCATCAACACAATAAATCTAGAACATAAAATCTTGTCAATTGAATATTTAACAGGATTTACAGAAATGGAACATTAATTCTCTGATTAAAATTTATAGTAATGAATTTGCCTAACTTGTGAAAAGGAAGACTTCCTAAAGGGAAGCAAGTATTAACCTGTCTATAGCTGGTTTTCTTACATTACAAATAGTTTTGGAGAAAAGAAGTCTTGGTTCTATCACTTGATAAATGCCACTTTGGGCAAGTTATTTGATATGACTGAATCTAAATTTTTCCATGGGTAAAATCACACTGATAGTTATAACTAATTCAATAAGTTGCTATAAGACTCAAATGGATAATTATGCATATCATGGAGCACTATGGAGATATTTATTATTAGTCTATGAATGGCTCCTATAACAGAATTGCTTATTAGAATAATATTCCTATGAAGGCCACTAATCAGCCCAATAGGAAGTCTCTATTTTAAAACACAATGAAATAAAAATCATGTGTCAGGAGACATTTTTCAACAATTATACAACCTGTATAATACAGCTAAAGTATGTTATTAATGGCAGTAAAATTCAAAAGATAAAAATAAGTGATTGGGAATATACATTTTCCAGAAAACATATTTCACATTATTTTATATAAAAAATTATGTATTTCATGTATGTAAATATATAAAATGGCAGTCTTGTAGAGAGTTAGTTTAAACTAATTAGATGTATTAAAACATTAACACATTGTTCACTGTACTCTCCAAGAATATATTTATTTGGAAACATGGCAGCGGGTGGGGAGGCAGTGATCCCTCCACCTCCTCAGCCACAGGGACAGAGTGAGACCTCAGAACAATTGGACTCTGCCTGCCGAGAAACCCCCAGCAAAATTCGGCAGAAGTGAGACCTAGGCGGAGAGTTTGGGCTACCTGAGGCAGCTGCTTGCTCATACACGGGTGACCCCTCGCGCGTGGAGGTGCTTGCAGACTGTCTGGCAGCCTGCAGACCCAGGCGATTCAGCAGTGCCAGAGACCGCGAGAGGCATAAAGACAGACGGAGGCATCTCGGCAGAGAAACCAAGAGCTGGACCCTTGAAAGAAACTATGAACCAAGCCTCCAGGAGACAGCAGACCAAGAACTGAAGCGAGACAGACCAGAGACAGACCAGACTCACCCCTCCCATCGGACATACCAGCAAGGGAATCCACCATTAGAGAGAGCCAATGTCACCAGAGTTCGGTGGTCGGGATCCCTTCCCAGTGAAATCAGCTTTAACAGGTGTGTGACTCTCACACCACCAGCCCCATACAGCTGGGAAATCTCAATAATCTATCACCAGATATACGAGGGCATGACTGTAGGAGCCCAGGGAAACAGAGGGGACACCTGACCTCCAACTTCCCCTACCACCAGGGGCGACAGCCGAGGTTCCCCCCACCCCCCAGCTCCTGGGGGCGTGGCTACCGAAAGGGACCAGGCAAAATAAGCTGAGGGCCCCCAGATCACCTGCTCCACAACCTTGGGGTCTGGGCGAATGGCTAACAGAGAGAGTGCTTAGTCATTCCCAGGGTGCTGCAAGTGTAACTAGATCTGTGGAGAACCCCACCAGTGAGTGGGGCCTGGCTGGCAGGAGAAGGGGGGAAGGGGCTGGAGACCAGAAATGGCCCTGGGTGGCCAGGATTGGAGAGCCGCCCAGTAGGGGAAGAGGA